AACCCACACTAATCCCCCCATGTTAAAAAGAATACGCTTCCTGCTCAGTTAACTCTGTGTGGCAGGAAGAAATTCTTCCTTTGTATTTTTAGCAGCAAATACCAGCTACAGGCACCAAAGTTTCATGCTACATTCTACACCACTTTCCCTCCAAATGCAGAGGTCTCTTCATCCAGGACTGGGGGGATAAAAGAACTGCGGTTCTACAGATCCAACAAAGCAATCTCTCCGATTAAGTGCTTTGGGAACTAAGCACAGGGCAGCACGACGCATCCCGCAGCAGCCAGGAGTAAAACAAAGTCAAAGCCAGGCAGAATGAAAAAGGCTCATGTCTTAGGCTCCCCCCTTGAAGCTTTGTAAGTCTCTTCTGCATTCAGAGGGACTCAAAGCAACCTCAGGAATAGGTTTGAGTCTGGCTCTGTGCAGAAGCTCACTGAGAGCAGAGCCTGCGCAGAGGAATAATGACTGGCTTATGTTCTTTCCAGGCAATGGAGGAAGAGTGCAGGAAGATGCATTTGATGGCTTCTCTAACCCAAATTCAGAGGTGAGCCCCTAAAATGAAAGAGTTTCTTCATGCACTATTTAGTTTAAAAAAAAATATTTTACTTTCAGTAACGATATAATTTATTTTTAAAAGTAAATTAATCCACCTTTCTTTAATTATGTGATGGTTCTGGCAAAGAGAAGCAGCAGGTACAGTTGGTGAAGTATTTTCATTTGAGCTGAATTTCACACAGTTCCATGCAGATACAGTGCCAGAAACTTCTTGAATGTGTCTGGCTGAAAGCCATGAATTCCAACGGGCTTCTGCAGAGAAAAAGACACGGATGCTCAGTTTGCAGTGAAGTGATTAATGTAGACAAACAACGGCTTTAAACATGCTTGAATAAGACTTTCAGGCGTGGTAGCTTCTAAATTGTGCTCTCTTCCCCAGAGGGGTTTGTGTGGGGGTACTTCCACTGGTGTCAATCTCAGAGAGCCGAATCCCTCTGACCATCAGTGAGATGCCCTCCCAGTATAACCAGTGCTGACAGCCCCGTGCTCTGTTTACAGCAAGGCTGACAGTAGCATGTAAGCACTTCCTTCATCAGAGCTGGTTTTAAACAAGCATATTATGAGATGGTGGATTACAGACAGGGATATCTGTACACAGGAGTTCATATTAAGCTTGGCATGTGGCACATCAGCACTACAAACACTCAGGAACCGTTCCCCTCAGGAACACCTGCTTAGGGAACAACTAGGCCAGTGCCCATGTCAGGTCCCTTCAGCTGGTTTAAAACCTGCTGCAGCTCTGCACCAGCTCTCAAACCTCCTGCAAGGTGAAAGGGCAGGATTTCCAGGACCATTTCCAAAGGTTTGCTTACCACTACAACTCTCTTCTTGATTTTTGGAACACACTGGGCTGTTTCATACAGTTTCTGATCGGAGTCGATCCACACTAGATTTTTTATGCCATCGTTAGAGACAAGGTCTGTTGTATTTAACTGGAACACCATGAACTGGAAGAGCTGGCCATCTGTGCCAATGCTTTGCACCACTATTGGCTGCTCCAAAACCTTGGGATCATTCTAGGAAAAGAAGAGGGGGTGGGGGAGAACGTTTTAAAAACCAGTTACTACAGAAATTGTATGAGTACTTGCTGATTCTGCATCTTAGAGTTGGTTTAAAGCCAAGATTTTAATAAATGTATTGTTACCTTGCCCAGAAAATTACTCTAGTCAAACAAGTTTTGAATGTAGATTTTGTATTTTAATTAAAATTCCTCCTTCAGCCAGCAATGAAGTGTCAATTTAAATACTGAGCTGTGGGATGGGTCAGAGTTTTACAGCTGAACTTACTCCCCAGTTCCTGCCCATTACCACCCCAGTGCGTGTTACATCACGAACACACTTGTTGCTGAGCGGAGGATTTCTGGATCAGGAGACATCAGTAACCTGAAGGTTGGGGTTAGACCTTTGGATGGGGAAGTTTGGATGTGAGAAGTACTGTAGCATGCCACGGCAAGGGAATTTCAGGACTCTCTCCACTTGCTGCAGCACTAGAGGGAGAACAAAGGCCCAGCAGCAGCCTGCCATACATACCCCATACAGCGCCTTGGCCTTGGCCAGCGCGTTGCCAAAAGCAAACATCAGCATTTTAGCACGGAGCTGTTCTGGTCTGAACCTGTCAGGGCAAATGATGGCTGACTCCAGGAAGAACAGAGTGTGAGGATGAGAGTAGGGATAACCATCTCTGAAACCTAAACAGCAGATAGTCATGTCAGAAATCACTCAGTAAGACACTACACAACCGATGTTCTCTCCCTTTCTCTTCAGGAACTGTTAAAGCAATTTGCTGGGGTTTAAGTTCTTCTCCATTGTCCTGCTTAGTCCACAGGTCTGGAGCGCTTGCACTGCACTCCTTTACCCAGCTCCTCTGTCCCCTCATTCCCACACATTCCCCCTCTCAGCTGCCTCACAGAAGGACAAGGGCTCTAGGTTAACCCAAACACTGACAATATTATTATCAACAGCTGGATTTACCTGTGTCATTGAGCTCTTTGTAGACATTCACCTCCTGAAGATCAATTGTAGGCAAGATGGGATGGAAGGTCTCCAGAACATGTTCTTTGGTGGCTAGGATCTCCTCCTTGGAGGCTACTGGTGGTATTGGGGCCATAGAGTTCATGAGTATTCCATTCAGGCCACGGACCTGAAGGAGAACGGATTCTGGGGAGGGAAATTAGACTGCATTCAAACACTGGTGAAATCAGATTAGGGAAACACGTACATTTCCTTTTACAAGTCTGTTCTGCAAGGCTCACCCTCTCCCCCTCACCTCCAAACCCATCTTAAATAGTAGTCCAGCTGTAGGTTCTTCTCCTAATATACCAATGCTAATTGCTGGTATTAAGTTCTTAACTAAACATACTTAGAAAAACAACAGAGAGAGACACAAACACACAATCAGGTCCAAGGCCCTGGTTCTCTTCTCCCACCATACTGTCAGTATTGTCTAACACATAGTAATGTCCTCAGGGAGAATATCCTGCCATCATCCAAGGCTGCCCATGCTGACAGCACTTTTCAAAACGGGAAGAATTACCTGCAGGGTTCCAGAAATTGTTTAACTTGCTCCAAGTCCTCATCCTTAAAGCCAGCAGCATGGTTACCCCTCTTATCTTAAAGAGCTAAATGCTTTCACCATGGCAGCAACTAACCTCTTTCCCATGTTGCTGCTATCCTGTAGTTTCTAGCCAACATCCTTTTACTCAGAGCAGGATACTTCCTAGACATTAACCGGCATAAATGTATCAAGTCTTCAAACAGCACTGGGCTTTAAAAGGAGAAAAAAACTGTTATCTAAAAATGGGATCATAAGGGCAGGCAAACGTTTCTGGGGCACAAATGATGTAAAATTACTGTATGTAAAACATATCACAGCATAACATTTCCAAGCAGTTAACAGAGATTGCAGATTAATATCACACACACCAATCCTGTTCCAAGTTGGCAGAGGTAATGCTTACAATTATTATTTTAAAAACTGATATTCTGCATCAGCTAGGAGTAGATCTCAAGGTGAAATAGAGACCTCGGCTTGAAAGCAGCTTTAATGTAGCAGAGCGTTTATGTCAGTGCTACTGTCAACATCAAAATTGTGTTTTATTGGTCGTTTTGGTTGTTGCCTTGTTTTAAAGATGACAACTTCACACAGCAAGCGAGTCTCTCAACAGTAGATTTGTGTTCGGTTCGAATTTTCCTTGTAGTGTTAAAAACTGTCCCTACAACTGCAGACTCACCAGAAACGTTCCCTCTTGGGAGCAACCTCTCTGGTGTCCCAGAACCGCGCGTGTGAGATCGCATCCTTCACCCGCTCCTCATGCTCCTGCAGCCCGTGGGCTGGGTTGTCCAGGATGCTCTGCACGGATAGAGGTAAACCTTCCACCAGCTTCGTCTTGGTGAGCCACTGCGCCTGCCGCACCCCTGCAAACACAACCCAACGCGGTATGTCACAGGTGACAGGGATGATCCAACCCAAACCATTCTGTGATTCTGCACTATGTTACCGAGGCTGCCAGGCAGCTCATGAGGCTGGGCAGGCTCTTCACAGCCCGTGTTCTGTTTACACTCTGTGTGAGGAGAAGCCTTGGCAGGCAGAGCAGGGTGAGTGCTGGTGGAGGGGGCAGCGCTGGGGGCAGAGCGGGTGTGTGGTACCTTCCAGCATTCGGACACCCTGGTGGCAGATGTAGCACCCCCGCTCCTTGTACAGCGGCATCTCCTCGTAGCGCGGCCCCGGCGAGTGCCAGGGGTCGTGCCAGCCGCGGTCCCAGGGCGGGAAGCGCGGCCAGGCCAGGCCGGGTATGTGGTGCAGCCGTCCCGCGCACGTGATGGTGTCCAGCTCCACCTGCTTCCGAACCGGCCGCCGCTCCACCACCCGCGCCAGCACCTCCGGCGGAGGCCCGCGCGTGGTCCAGGGCGTGCGCGGCAGCGGCCCGCGGTGGCGGGGCCGCCCCGCGCGGGTGAGGATGCCGCGGGTGAGGCCCCGCGCTGCCGCCCCCGCCCGCCTCAGCGCCACCGGCCCCGCCGCCATCGCCACTGCCATCCTCCTCCTCCTCCTCCTCCCTCCGCCGCCTCAGCGCCCGCCCGCCGCCATCTTGGAGAGGGACTGTCCCCCATCGCCTCCCCCGGTGACTGACGGCGGCGGCGGCCAATGGCGGGCGGGCGCGCCCCGCCGTAAGGGAGAGTCGGCAAATTGCCTGGCGGGCGGAGGGTAGGAGCCGTGTGGGTAACTGGGGAGGCGGGCGGGGAGAGGAGAGGCGGCTCCTCGCCCGCGGGGCGGGGGGGCACTTGAGAGACCGTCCCTGGGTGGGAGGTGCTGGGGCCGCTGTGCCCCCGGGGCGGTGTGTGCGAGCCCCCCGGGGCGGTGTGTCCCAGGCCCCGGGTCCGCACAGTAAGTGCTCGAAACTCTGTAAATCTGCCCAGCCCTGAGGGTTCCGGGTTCACCCACGGCCGGGTCGGGGTTACCCCTCGTTCACAGCCCACGTGTGCTCGGGGTTCCCAGCGGGCGCTGTGGGCAGCCGGACCAGTCGCCTTTGGTTCTCTCTTCTCCCTCCGTATCCTTAAAATAAGTGTATTCGTGTTGCGGGGGTGAAGGTTAATTAATTGACCTTGACAGTGAAGCTGCTCGAAGCGCTAAATGTTCCCGTGCTTCGGCTTGGTCACCCGTGGCTTCATAATTTCCTGTGGACCCCCTTGCGTTCAAAGGATACGGACACAAATGCATTGGGAGCAGCGTTAACCCAGCCAGTGTGTAAAAATAGCAGGGTCCCTGCGAGGTCTGCAGTGCGATTTTGGCTTGAGGAGTGTTTGATGTGTACAGCTCGCTTGGAAGCACTGGGAGCAAGGGATAAAATCTCCCTTCTTGTGCTTCCTGCCCTTCCCTATGTCTACATTTAAAGGCAGACTCAATGCCCATAACCAAAGAGTTTGTTTTCCTGAGACTTTGCCCCATTTGCCTCAAGTCCCTTGGCTCTAAACACGACTTTCAGCTCACTGCCCTTCCCCCTCTTCCAAAGCTGCACAACTCAGGCCACATCTGGTGGTTGGGTTTGTCACCCGTTTTCCTGGACTCAGCTGCAGATTTTTAAGATGTTTCTGTTCCAGGTGACCAAGCTGCTCTTTTGTAGGAAATCACCCCGGCAGAGCAAGCAGGATTAAAGAGCGTGGCTTTGGCTGGGCAGCCAGGCTGGGGAGGTGGGCCTGAGGCTGGACTAAGGGTCTGGGCTGTGATGTCTGGCATTCCTGCACTGGACAGTGCAAAAGCAGTGAGCACTCAAAAAACAATGGGGTGTTTCAGGCACAGATCAGCTCCAGGTTTTCAGTTTTCCCTGAGATACAGATGCACAATACTCAAGAGGGATTTTGTCAGTCCTTCTCCAAAAATGCCCGGCTGGTGAGCACATGCCGCTCTTTGTCATGCTGTTTTTGGTACAGGACTTGTGTTTTGCAGGCAATGAGTGGCAGTGAGCAGGACTGGCTGGCTCTCAGACCCCGGGAACCTTCTCCATCCCAGTGCTGCGGCGGCGGCTGCAAACCCTGCATCTATGACGTGTACGAGAAGGAGCTTGCACAATGGGAGAGGGCCAAGGCAAAGCAAGACAAAAGCCTTCTCACAGAAAAGAGGGAGCAGGTCAATTTACCTCCATCACATCCTGGAGCCTGTGCTTTGATGGTACTTGTTAGGGTCTGAGGTTGTGGTGATGGGCGAGGGATGCAGCAGTAGGTTCAAGTGGTGCCTTAAGAGATGGCTGTAAATGCAATTCCCCAAACTCTGCTTCACCCTCCCCCTTGGCTGCTCTCTCCCTGCTGTAATGTGATTTTCCAAGTGTCATGTTCTCCCTGGTGTCGCATTACAGCCCTGAATCTGCAGCTCTCCTCTCAGAGTTTCCTCGGAGAAGCTCTGTTTTCCCCACCTTTTTCATCTTCTCCTGATTTTTAGGCTCATATTTTGAGGCTGAAAAAAGCTGTATTGTGTGTGGCGGAGCAGTTGTCTTCAGAGTGTAATTTGAAGCTTGTCAGTGCCCTTTTACATAAGATTAACTATGCTGGGTCAAGCAAAAAAGATCAGCTGAAACAACTGATAGTATTTCCTGTTTGCTGTGGCCATCAGTAGGTTGCAAAGTTGCCCCCAAAGCGGTGCTTGGCGCTTTTAGCAGAATTATTTCTGTTTGTTTTTAGACATGGGAAAATGATTGCAGTGAGTCATAATAGGATGACCTTGCTGTAAGGTGTAAAAAAAAATATATAATTTAAAAAGAAGGTGGTGGTGGTGGTGGGGAAATGCAAGATCCCAAAGTGCACACTGCAGAACATGATAATGAATCAGCAGAGAGCTGGAATTTGCGCTGGGCCCCAGCGTTTAATACATGTCCTGAGTATCTCGGCTGCTAAATTAGCATGCACGTTTGCTTCCAGAGAAGAATGAAATCATAAAAGACACCATCTAACCAAGTAATTATTTATTGTTGTTCTTGCAGAGCAGTAATTCAGTGCTGAATCCAGATACATTCACTGCATTCAGCGTGAGCTCGGTGGAGCAGCTGACAGAGGACACCTACCAGTACAAATTTGAATTACCGGGAAACAGCAGCTTGCAATTGAGTTTAGGACAACATATCGTGTTAAGGTATTGTTCTCTGTGCTAGTTAAACAGTCTGCATTATGTAACCTAATATGTAGGGGTTTGTCAATAGACAAAGGCTTCATAGCAGGCAAATCGTGATTTCTGTACCTCCACAACGACACAGATGAAAAGAGCTCGTGAGCTCACTGGCTGCACTAATTCCATGGTAAAAGCCATTCCAAAGCTGTAGTTTTCTTCAGCATTATCCTTGCATCGGTGGGTCAGAAAGAACTAGGTGTGATTAAGAAAATCCATTTGCAGAAAGAAAGACTCAAAGAATAGATGTTACAACAGATGATTTACTCTAGCGTGTTGGAATGAAGACAATGAGCTGCACTTTCCCAAGAGCTCTGCACTTCAGCACCCAGGGTGTAATCCCAGTGCCCAGGCATTGCCTGACTGACTTTGAGCAAAACAACCCTCCCGTGTAGTTTATTGCTTGCCGGAAAGGGGCCACTTGGGGAAAGTTTCTGTTTCTCAGCCATCTGTGGTGATCATTGCCAGATAGGAAAAGTCCTGTTATGATGCCATTGATCTGCCTCTCTTGACGTTACTAGTAGGTTAAGAGCTGATGTGTGCAGCTGGTTTCTGCTGCCAGCACATGCTCCTCCTTCCAGCCCTGTCTCATCAGGCAGCAGAGAAAAAGGTTTGATCACTTCAATCAATTCTCGTGGTCAGTAGTAAAGAGCAGGGTGGATATATTCTATAAGACTTACAGGAAAATATAGTCTATATTGACAAGACCTCAGGTCAAGGCTGTGCCCTGGTTTTTGTTATTTAATTACCAGATGCTGACTGGACACAGAAAGTGACCCCAGCTCAAAAGGAACAGCAGACTCAAGCATGGAAGTGTTTTCTCCCCCCTTTGCCGCTCTTGCACATTCAGCCATTTCTCACAAAGCAGCTCAAACACCCTTCCAGGGGTGTGTCCCAGAGCTGGATGTGGTACAGTTGGGGCCACCACCGGGAAAACAAAAGGTGCCTTTAAGCCACTATGTTCCCCCTGGATTTTTACCTGTGGAAGGGAAGTGTTTTGCATCTGTGCACAGGCTGGGCCACTGGGAAGAGGACCTGCTGCCTGCCCTGTCTCCCCAGGGAGCTGCAGGAGTTTGGTAATCCCCAATGGCCCAAGTCACAGTGGGTTCCTCTTTATCTTCTCAGGGGAGTGGTGAATGGTTTGGAGGTCCAGCGAGCCTATACTCCAATCAGCCCTGGGAATGCAGAAGGTTATTTTGAAGTTCTAATTAAAGTAAGTAAGCCCAGACAATATGGAGTAGAGTCTAAGGTGCTGGGGACTGTGTTTTCTTTAGGAACCAAGCACGCTGGCAGCACTTGGAGTGAGACTCTCAAATCCCTCATGCACTGTTTCTGTCTTGTTTTGAAATGGTTCTGCTTTGTTGATAAAAATTGCAGTTTTTCCCCCAAAACTGAAAGCAGAGAAAGGTGACACACAAACAAGGGCTTTGCAGCAGAAGCCCTGTTAAGCACTTGGGAGAACCTCTTGGGTGCCTAGCAGTCAACAAGGTGGAAAGAGGTGCCCATTCTGCTTCTCTCGTATAATTTTGCCTTTTCAGTCTGTCTTTGAAATCGCACCCAGTTGTCAGCCCAGTTGAACCACTGACTTTGGGAAGTGTTTGCCCAGCCCTTATCCTTCCCACTGTATTTGACTCCAAGAACACCCCACAATAAAAAATGTCAGTTTGGTTAAAAATGTAGACAGACAGTGGAACAGGGAGCAGCTGTTCCTGGTGTGTGGGCAGGGCTCTAGAGCTGCAGCGTGAGAGGGTCTCCATGGGCAGAAAGGTGTCCCATGGACACAGGCTCCATCTATCAGGGTGGATGGGATGGCAGAGCCCTGACTGGGACAAGTGTCTTGGCCCTTCTGGAGGTTACCACAAAGTGTTGCTTGAGTTCAAAATTATTTTATAGGAGGTTTGAATAAAGCCTGCAGGGTCCTCATATATTACTACTTTGTGTGGCAAATATCGACTGGAAGAACATTTTTCCAATACTGCATTTGTATGTCACTAGTGATTCCTCAGGGCAGACCCAGACTTCAGTACAGGTGTGAAATTCAGAGAGCTGGGTATCCCAGGTGGCTTGCAGAGGATGACCACTTGCCCTCTGCCTGTCTTCCAGGATTTCATGTTTTTGGGGTTTATTATGCATTGTACATTGAAATACAAACCTTGGCCTTTAGAGAAGTGAACAGCTTCTGTAGGACACCTATGGGAGGGTCATTTCCCCATTCTTGTGGCAATTGGTGAGTGGTAGGGGAGAGAAGTATTACATTTGAGTTGCATTAATAGGATACATTCACAGGATGACTGTGAAATTTCATGTATAGCGGCTCATTACTCACAGGTTTTGCATTTCAATAATAATAGTAATGATTGTAATGATACCTTTCCTTTATATAGAACCTTTCATCCCAAAAGGAGCTATAGTTATTCTCGGGCAGTGACAAAAGAGGTTGGTAACACCCAGTGTAAAGCAGCCATTTTTATAACTCACTCTGTAGGTTGTGGTATATTTCACACTATTCAGGCAATTTTGGAAAGTACTATATTATTATTACTATGCAATCCAAGCACTGTTCAAACACTTCTCTCTCCTGTTATTATAGCATTGCATTTGTGATACTACAGTTAAGAGTGAGGGAGTTGCCATTTACAGAGCATAACCCTCTTTTTGAGTGATTTTATAATGTTAGGGTTTTTCTCCATGTAAAACTGGGTGTAGAAGTTTTCCCCCAGGAGATAATTATTTTTTTTCTTTTTATTTAGAAAAATTGGGTTTTAAACCCACTCAATCACTTCTCACTTCAATTTTTTTGGAAATAATTTTGGTGAAAGGAGGATTGTTTTAGTTTCCATTACCCCGGTCCTTTGGGAATAGGCAGTAACTGGGACTGACTTTTCTACCCTTGCCTTGAGTTTCCATATGTATTTGAAGAAGGGAGGTATAAAACATGCTCCTTTGATGCAACTGCACGCTCCTTGTGTGAGACTTAGCGCCTGCCCAGAGCCCTCTGAACATAAAATGTTTCTGACAGTAACTCAGAGCCTGGATGTGTATTTGATTTACCTTTTGACTGTAGCAACTGGTGCTAATAGTTCTTCAGGTTTAAGTGAGGTGTTAGGAGGGGAGGAGCGTCTCTGTTCTTTATTACCTAACACTGCTTGCAAGCACAAGCACATGCTCACTCTTTCTGAGCTGCTTTGTGGTTCACCAATTTTGTTTGCCTGCAGTGCAGCTTGGTGGCCAGCCAAGGCACTGGGGTGTGGAGCTGGGCTTCTCTCCAGTTTGTGTGCAGAAAATACCCCAAAATACGCTGCTTATAGCAAATCCCATCTTTTGACCTTCGGTTGTGTTGCCCTTCCCCAGGCTTATCTGTGGCATCACCTCTGCACCAGACCGCTTGTGAGCCGCAGCTCTTGGGCTTTCCTGCTCTTGCTGTTTGGACCAGTCCTTGTTTTCCGGCCACATCCCGGACCATGGCCGCTCTTTTGCTCACATTTGTTCTATTTAATCATAAAGGGGTCATACATACAGGGCATGGATGTACATCTGGCAAATAGCAGCAAGTTGCCTTGGATGAGCCCTTTATTTTCCAGCCTCTCCTCCCTGCTCTGTTTCTAGCAAGCACCAACCCTTTCTCATCAGTCAGGATTGAGATCAGCATTCCTGCAGGCAACAGCCTGGATAATATTGTTTGTGCCTGGTAGAAAGTAAGGCAGGTTATTTTGCTAATATTTTTCTTCCATGAGGCCAACATTAACATATTCTTTTGAAAATGTGGAGGCATCCCTTAGCATCCAGATGATCTGTTCTGAAAACAAGGGTTTTACAAATTAGAAACCTGGCTTTGGGTCACTAATTATATCAGCACAGCATCTGAGAGACTGAAATAAAGCAAGAGCTATGCAGTGTTTATATAACTAACAGTACCCAGAGGGCATTTCCAGACCCCAAACCCTGGGATTTGGAGAACACTTGAAGGCCTGGACTGTGCTTTGCATTCAAGACACTTTTCTCTGTGTGCTTTGTAAGCAAGAACTCTGATAAGCTTTTTCCAGTTTTGGAAATTCAGATTGCATGAGAGGGGGTTGTGTTTACATTATAGTCAGGCTGGAGTGGGTCCAATATGATTTAATTTAAATGTCTTTGTTTTGGGTATAACTCTGAGTTATTTTTTAAACAGAAAAATCTTTCTTTTTAAACACACAAAATGTTTTTTTGTCCCCTTTTTGTTTAAATGTAGATAACTTTATAATTGACTTTAAGCTGGGAAACTTTCCAACTGAGTATAATTATTCTTTTCTTTTGTGCAATGTTTTTTATTAGTGCTATGAAGCTGGGCTGATGTCACAATACATAAAAACGTGGAAAAAAGGAGACATGGTCTTTTGGCGTGGGCCGTTCGGAGGGTTCCCATATCAACCTAATAAGGTTAGTTCCCTAAGAGACATAGGATGCTTCACCTTGTGGCAGCCAGCTTTGTTCAATACTCTAAAGGGAAGACATCAATTTGATTGCTGTTTTCATTATTATTTTAGGGACTTCCTGGGTTACTGTACAGTGCTACAGCATTAGTAGTCAGTTGGAGCACGTACACCTTATTGAACTGCAGAATATTTAAGGAGGAAGAGGAGAGGGAGGTAGATGGGAGGCTGGAAAATATTATCAAGCCTCTGTGTTCATCATTTGCATTAGAAGTTCCTGACGTGCTTGACAAAGGGAACTTACTTTCCACCAGCAATGACTGTGGATCTGTTTTTGCCTGGTTTGACCCACATCGCTATTTTGTCACTGAGCACAAGAGAAGGGAAGGTGTTAATCTTCTTCTCTCTTGGGTGAGCAAAGGGGAGGTGTTTATCTTCTTCTCTCTCTCGGGTATTCCCTGAACTGCAGCAGCTCCAGTGAGGTGTCAGGTCACTCAGCCACTCCACAAACGCTGATCCCACCTGCCGATACCAGGCTGGCTGCAAAGAAAGGCAGATCCTGTTTCAGGGGGAGACTTCTCACACATACTAATGTGGTTACTTAATTCTGACCTTTCAAATGAGGAGCAAAACTGAAACACTGGTCATTAAGATCCCGAAGCTTTATGGGTTTTTTGGCTTCCTTTCCCCACCCCCCCCACCCCCCCCAACAAAAGTAAGGCTGTAAAATCTGAGTAGCTGAGCTCTATGCATATCAATTGTGTCCTGCTTCCTGAAATACTCTCCTTGCTGGTTTAGGTCACTGTTCCTTTCTCTTTTTAAAAGCTTCCAGATAATCATTTGGGACAGAACATAGCAATCTTGCCTAGAAGTGGTCTTCTGTGCAGGACCAGGAGTTGGACTTTGAGGATCCTGGTGGGTCCCTTCCAACTCAGCATATTCTGTGATGCTGTGGTGTGTGATCTGTGTACATGCAGTTTGCAAAGCACCTGAGCAATCTTTAAAACAACTTGCTGTGAAAAACTGTTTATTATTTAGGAATTATAACACAGGTTCTGAGTATTAGTTTTATAGTAAAATTTTTGTTTATCTGTACTTGCTGTCAGTAGAACTCCAGGACTCCAATTCAGGCAGATCAGATTAATTCACAATAAAATGCCAAGTCAAAACAGAGCACAAGCAGCCTCTGAGGGGTTTAGGTCCCAGTTCTAGCACTGGTGCACACTGGCTGGCAGCTTGGGAAAGTGCTGGGAACCTTCTGTCCTGCTATACACAACACCTTACTGCCTGAACATCCCTATTCCAAGTAGAGTGAATGTTCCCCCTTGGAGATGGAAAACTCTATGTGCTGCTGGTAGCTCTGAGAAAATTGAGATAATGCACCAGGAAGACATGTGGATCAGGATGGAGAAGAACCTGTTTCTTCCAGAGGTACTTCAGATTGTACTTTGCAGCATCCAAGACAAACACAGGGAGCATTTCCAGTGGGAGAAAACACACAGTGGGTCGGCAGAGTGTACTGCAGAATTGAAACTGAAACAGAAGTTGTTTGAAATCAAGGCTAGAGTTAGGATAAATTATTATATTTGGGTAAAATCCAGCTTCACTAAATTTGAGATATAAACCCTGGAAGTGCTATCTGTAATCCTTTGCAGAAAAATACATTCTGAGATTTGAATTTACCAGTGCATGACCTTCTGATGTGTTGTCTCTCAAGGGACCCTTTACCAGCGTGGCAGCAAGGAGGACCTGACCATAAGCACATCGATTTCCAGCCACCAGAGCTCATTCCAAATTCTCTGTTCTGTTGTTAGTATGGAGAACTCCTCATGCTGGCTTCTGGCACCGGCCTTGCACCAATGCTTCCCATCCTCCAGTCCATAACAGATAATGAAGAGGATGAAACCTTTGTAACTCTTGTTGGCTGCTTCCCTACTTTTGACAAAATTTATTTGAAACCTCTTCTGCAGGATTTGGCTCGGTACTGGAACATCAGAATATTTTATATCCTAAGCCAGGTAAATAAATGGGCATGAAGCACATTCCTTCAAGGGTTCTGTGTGCTGGGTGAGCCTCTGCCTCCTCCACTTCTCTGTGAGCACGATCTTAATTCTTTCTAAGTCATCCAGGCTACTTTGTGATCTGGTGGCTGCTGTGGTTAAACCTGCTACGTGTGTTTACAGTGTTACTAGTCTGGAGAATTTCAGGGAGGTGGCCATCGCTGCTTGTCCCTCTCTTGGGAGCTATTCTGTTGTTTTGCTGTTTTATAGTCACTATTGATTATTCCCCCCACTTCAAACAGTTGTTACTGCATCTAAACAGCAAATGAACTATTTTTTTCTTTCCTAATACCAGTGCCTTAATCCGTCCTTATCCTCCATTCATTGCTTATGACCAGAGCTCTCTTTTTCTGGTATGCTACCACCAACTTCCCAGCAATTATTTTTTCTTGCTGACCCATTTTTAAACTTCTAAAAGTTGTTTACCCCTCTGTAAAATTACTTTTCTGCCACGTTCATGGGATGAGGGCATACCTCTCAGTGGTCTTACGTTTTGAGCAGTCTTTTCATTTCCATTTGGTCCCAAAGTTGCCTGTGTTCTGCATGGATTTGATGGTTAAAAATTATTTCTGTCAGAAATAAGGATTCATTGCAGGGAGGTTATAGAAAGAATTATTTATGCTAAGGGAATGAATCCCAGTGCATTTTTAGTTTCTCGGATGAATCATTTTTTTGTATCTCTCACAGTGGAACTGCCTCTTACATTCTGTTCCACATGTGGCCTCGGCAAGTTGAGATTTGGTAGAGGGAAAAGTACTGGTGACTTGGACACCCCCTCAGCTGCTCTGTAGGAGCATAACCATAATTGTCTGTGGTGACACGGCTTAAATACCCTTTTCAGGGTATTTAAACTCTTGAGTGCTGTCTCGAGCATGTGGAGGTCTTGAAATTCAATCAGCAAAGGGCAAGAAACCCACCTGACCCCTGTCAACACTGTCTGCACTGTGTATGCATCTCTCCCTTTCTCCTCTTCTCTTAGCAGGCTTGTGGTAGTCCAAGACTGGCTCGTGCATCCTCCCTCTTGGGATTATATATCTGTCTGTGTCTGTATTTCACTCTGCTGCCTGTCACCACCACATCTGAGCACCTCCTGATTAATAGCAGTGGGGGAGTCCCCACTGGCTCTAATGCCACGGGACCTAAACACTTCTCATGGGATCAGAGCTGTGTTTGGAGCAGAGCTAGATTCTTTCAGTTTTGGTCAAGGGGGATGGGACTGAAAGAGACTTGGGAATGGGAGAGGCAATAGAGAGAAATAGACTTGGGATCTAGGATTTGGGAATAAGAAAGGTGCACTGGGAGGTGGTTCTCTAGGGAGAAGGTTCTGTAGCATTTATTAGTGATAGTTACACTCTGGTTTTGTTCAGTCCAACCTGAGCAAGTGGCCAGGTCCCATGGCAGGGAGAGATTTCATCTGGGCTTTGGAAGATGAATGCAGCTCTCAGGAAGGGTCAGTGCTACCCACATGGTGTCACAAGGGTGAAAGCATCCTGTGCAATACTCTGAGGGGAGGAGAGAGATTTGGCTGTAAGCAATCAGCTGTCCTTTTTAACATGACACACGGCAACCCTTTTGCCTTTTCAGGAAACTTCACTGGAAAAACTTCCTTGGAGCTATCAAGAAAACACATATACTGGTCGTCTCAATGAAGACTTGATGAAGACAATAATAAATTCCTGTCGAAGAAGGCCATTTGTATTAATCTGTGGCTCTTCTGCATTCAATGAAGATATGACTAGATACTTGAAAGCTGCAGGAATTGAAGAAAATTCCTGTTTTGTCTTTTAGCTGGATATTCCTGACCTGAGGAACCTTAGCCCAAGCCTTGGACGTCCTTGTTTCTCTGCAGACATTGCACAAAATGGGTCAGCTCTGTACACTGAGTTCCTTGGACATACATCTTCATAGGCCTTTCAATCAACTATTTGTCTCCAGTATGAGTCTCACTATGGAGTGTTTTAAGGACTGCGTGCCATTCCAGAGTGGCTGCTACAAGGTGTGTCACCCACACCTGAGGGAACAGTGTGGTAATTTTAATGGAAATCTTCAAGCGCAGTTTTAAGAGAGAGATCTCCTAAGGGGGTACTAAAACCATCTACATGCAGGTCTGCTCTAAAATGGGGACCAGGGACTTGCTTTGCAATCCATGTTATTCTGCAGTGGTATTGTGCCCTCTTAAGTGTCCAGAGGAGAGATTTAATCCTCAGGGAGAAGACTGCCTGGCCAAGGGAACAGCAGAGCACTGGCCTGGCAGTCTGGAGTCTGTGGGCTTCATTTTGGTTCTGTCATGTGCTGGGTGATGTCAGGCAAGTCACTTCAACCTCTCTGTGCCTCAGTTGCCCCATTATACACTAATACAGAGAAGGTGGCACTGATTTTCTCTGAAAACAACCTTTCCAACCATATATGGAAAAACTGTCCATAAGGGTGGATAGTGATGCCTAGTGAGGACTTAGCAGGCTGAGCTCCTGCCCTGACACAGCCTGCATTACCTACCCTGTCCTTAACCCTTGAAATGCTGCCTGGGAAGACAAAGAGTATGTCCTAAAACTGAGAGAACGTAACTGGGTTGTGGCTGCTATTTGTCAAGGAGGATGGGTGTTTGCTGGTGTTTGCTTTCCATGTCCCCTAAGTGTTGTATCATAGCCCTGGCTCATTAAATTGAACCTCTTTTCAAATAAACAGCTGTTTGTTTTTGTCACAGGACTCTCACAGGTGCCCAAGGGGGTTCCCTAAGCACACAGGAACACCCGTTGAGGAGTGAAAGCTTCAGGGGCTCTGCTGGGGTGCTCCCCTGTGGGGTAGAGAGCAGAGCCAAGGAGCTGCCTGGGGGATGGCAGCCTGGCACAGCCCCCAGCCTATGCACCTGGTCCCCCTCTCCTCTTTCAGTCCAAAATACTTCTGCTTTTCCTCCAAGCTATCTGCTGTCCACTCTTTTACCTTCTTAGACCACTGCATTTACTATTAACACCGGGAAATACAACCTTTCTGCACACCTTTGTGTTTTTCTGTTCATTCCCAGTCCGTGCTGTGTTGTGGTTGTGCCAGGTGATGTTGCATTATCATTCATGCCTCATTTTGTACCTGTGTCTAATACTACACCTTACACAAAGGAGCTGCGTTTGTTACACAAAATAAGCAGCGTGCACTGAAGTGGTGGCTCTGATTCACACATTGGGAGGGAACATAAGTTCCTCTTGCATTGCAGAGGTTTGTCTCCAGTTACCAAATGCCTGGAATTAATCAAGTGTAGCTGCAGCTTTTATGTGAACTTCCTTGGAGGAAGGGCTGAGCCAGAGAAGTTGTCCATGGTCGGTCCAAGACAAGCTCTCAGCTCCAATCCAAGCTGTGCTTCAGCCACTGTAAGTTACTGCATAGTGGAGATGCCTCTGCACAGCATGGGGCTGATAAAATAAGGAGATGCTTTCTCCAGTCGATTTCCCTACTTTGGGCTTGGCTGGGAAAATGGAAAAAATATTTTTGTCAGATATTAAGTATTCAAAAACCTTGCTTATATACTTCTTGCTTTAAATGTTTTATCTTTTTGAGATTTTGCTAAAAGCCCACCCAGCCTTTTTTGCAAAGGCCCAAGGTAAAACTTGACGCTCGCTTTGGAAAAGCAACGGCTTTCTGCGAGAAAGCTGGGACTGTTCCTTTAAACACAACCCCAATATGTCTGGGTATTTCAGCACATATGGGCCACGATGGTTAAACCCTCCCCAGCTGGTCCGGCCGTTCTGCCGCGCCGCTCCCGTCTTTGTTCGTGGCTCCAAGGGAGGGTGGTGAGAGACGGAGCAAGCTGTGAGTGCTGCGGGATGCGATCCTGCAACGGCGGCTGCGGCCGAGCGGGAGGAGGTGCTGCCTGTGCCGGAGGGGACAGGGGTCTTTGCGAGACATTCTCCATGGGGGACACGATGTCCTTGGAAGTAGGGACTTGAAGGAGCCTTTACACTGCCCCTAGGCACTTTGTTCTCTATTTTCTGCCCTTTTCTCCCTTCCCCCTCCTGCCTTTTGTTGTTTCTCAGGCTGGGAGTCCCCTGTCCCAACCATCTCCCACAGGGACAGCCCCTTTCAGACCTTGGCATGGACCCCTGCAAAGGCAGGGACACGGAGTGGAAAGGCTGTTGGGCAGGATTTTCCCTGCCAAGGGAAGATGACAGGTTTCCTTTCCTTTGGAGGCCTGGAACCATCCCGTGGTGGCAGTTTCATGGGGAAAGAGTGTTGATCTGTGACTGGGGGATCTGTGGAGCTTAAGGTGCGTGAGCTGCCCGCAGTGGTGGGTGGCCGATGCATGGTCAGGGCAGGGGCTCACATCCTGCCTCTCCTGCCAGGCAGGGGGATGCTGGTGGGATGCCCCTGGTCTTTGGCTGCGCTCCAGGAAGCCCCTGCTGCCCATGCAGTGCTGTGCTGGGAAGAGGGGCTTCACTTTGCTTCCTTTCTTCTTCCTCATGTGCAGCCTAAATACCCTCTTAATTTCATCTCATTATTTCCTGCCTAAATAATTCTTATTTCTCCTGGGGACCATTTTTAAACCTTTGATCTTCTCTGAAGTCTCACAGTCCTGATCACGTCCTTTCTGTTTAAATGAATCAAATGCCTTTTTGACTCATGATTTATAAATTTGCCCACAGAGGAACAAAGGCAGCCCCAACATGGCACACCTCGAAATCACCCACCATGTCTCTGGTTGGAGAAAAGTACCCTGAGCTGACCCAGAGCACCTCCAGCCTGACCTCCAGTCCTGGCTCCTCTGTTTCCCTGCTGCCTCTCACTCTCCCCCTGCCTCCCACTCCTGCCTGGCTCTGCAGCTGACAAGCAGGTTGCCTGGGCTCAGGCCCAGCCTGGGAATGGCCATCTCCAGGTCAGGAGAAGGGTGAATGTGCCGGTGGTTGATGGATGCTGTCTCCTGGGAGGAGGGGCACAGCTGCTATGCTGCGCAGCCCTGACCCCTCATTGTCACCAATTTTCAGTGATACCATTTCCTGGGGTTATGGCCAGCTGGAGGGATGGAGAGAAGTTGCTCTGTAGGTACTGGTGTCCTGGACGCTGGCTCCATGCTGGGATGTGCCTTGGTGCTGAGGCCAGTGGTGGAAAGGCTGGAGGGCAGTGGGTGTTGCTGGAGATGAATGCAGGCAGGATGAACATGTTGCTCTGTAGTGCAGTGGTGGAGAAGTCAGGATGAATGTCTTGCTCTATAGTGCAGCAATGGAGAAGTCGGGGAGCACATTATCCCCGAGCCCAGGGGATCAGGGCTGGGAGGGCTGAGCACTCCTCCTGACTGAGCCAGGGTTGTGGCAATGGAAATATCGAGGAGGGGCCGTCGTGCCAGATCTCTCCTGCCTCTTTGCTGCATGGCCCCACACAATGGCCCCTTGTTTCACAAGGCACAGGGACAGACCTCCTCTCCAAGCCATTAGGGAAGCAGCTAATTAAGCTCTGCAGTGTCCGTAGGAGGTCAGCGGGATACGCGACAGTATCACAGCATCTCCCAGAACCTGCACTGGAGCAAGAGCTTCACACGGTACCTGGGAACAGGGAGGGCTGCCCTGCACCTCCTCGGTCCAATGTACCCTTAGTCCTGGTGGGGTGAAGTGGTGCCCAGTGCCCCAGGACAGACACCCCAGGACATTCTCCACCTCAGCTGGGCTTAGGACAGAGGGCTTCTGGCTGGGATGCCCCAATGCTCGCAGCAGCCCTTGGCATGACTCCAGCGAGACCGGGCAGTGGAGAGAGAGCCTGTACAAATATTACTGTTGTTATTATTCCCCATAAATATATGCAGGCACTTAATGACCTTGGCATGGAACATTTCCCGGGGATTCATGACCAGTTGGTGTTAATGGTCCTTAGCTGCACCTCAGGCCATCAGCTCCTCCCAGCCCATCATTAATCCACAGGAAATGTCTCAGCATCGATCCTCATTGCTTAATTAATAAATGCAACTTGTCTCCTGCCTGAGATTTAGAGATACTCACTACTTCTTTCCCTGTTGCTTTGAAGGTGACTTTTTTAGCACAGGTCCCTCATGCTGGGAGGTCCTTGTGGGATTTTGTTTCCTGGTATTCATCTGGGTGTGGGCTGTGGCAGCAGGAAAGTCCTTTTTCCAGGGTGGGAGGGAAGGAACTGAGCCACTGCTGGGTTTGGGGTTTCTCCAGCTAATGTGGCACAGCACAAGGAGCACATCTTTCCCACCAAATCCAAAACCTTGATTACCTTCAGCCGAGTGCATCCAAAAGCCTGGGCGAGAAGGAGTGTGAGCCGGCATGGAAGAACGCGGCAATTCTCCAAGGCCTTAGCAGGTTCTATAATAATCGATGTTTTTTTGCCCATGAGTCACAATTCATCTCTAATCTTCCTCGGGGGAGGTGGGATTTGCTATCTTTAGTGCTCACGACTGCTGCTTTCCCGGGCTGAGCATCCCGCTGAGCCTGGACTCCTGCTGCAGGGATGCTGACCTGGCAGCCGGCGCAGAGACGTGGCCGTGTTTAAATCCCATTCCCTGTTTCTCTAGCCTTTACCACCAGCTGGCTTTGTGCAGTGGGTGCCGCAGTATAAATCATGATAATTCCTGAGGTGCTTTTCCGCGGTAAGTCTGAAATTCCCATTTTGGTTCACTGGCTTGCCTGGCGAACTAAATTATTTTCATGGCCCCTTAAGGGCATATTGTCAGCCCAGACTTATTGCCGTTATACACCATATCTGAAACATTAATATCTCTTCTAAATATAGTGTATTGACAAGGTATCTGGTATAGTGTAAATCCTTGGGACATTTGATCCAGATCATTAAAACTGAGTGAAGGAAGGGAGGAATAGATCAAGTTACTTTGCCGCTCTTAATTCAAACAAGTGATGAATTATTCATTCTGCTATTAATTCTACAGTCCTCCTGCTTTTTATTTATTTCTCTCTTTATTTATTTTTTTCCTTCCAAATAGACAGCTCCAAAAGGATGCTCGGGTGCCAGTGAGGGGAGATTTTCCTGCTGGAGGATGGGGAGCACGGGGGTGGGATACCTGGCAGCAGTGGCCGTGCTTTGCGGGGCTCTCGGGGATGCTCCCAGCAGAGGTAAGAACCTGGTCCCAGCTCCCAGTGGGAACCTTGGGGCTAGATGGGCATTCATGGTCCCCGAGGAGCAGAAGAGGGCTGTTTGCGGGTGCCACAGTGGCTCTGGGGAGCGAGTGGGTTCCAGCTCTCTCTCAGGGAGTGGGCTGGCTCAGGCCAGGGGCAGGGAGCTGGGATCTGGGATCTGGGATCTGGAGTCACTGTGTGCAGCAGCAAGTGTGGGACACTGCTCTGTGCTTGGTATTCTGCCTCACACTTATCTTACTGAGGATTGCAGGTAGGGATTGTCCTGTTGTGATGTACAGGTGTTTTGGTGAAGGGTTTGTTAACTTCTGGAGTTCACTTGCCTATATAAATACATGTATTTATATACACACACACATATACGTGTACATTTATGTGAATGTATGTATGTGTGCATATGTAACAGGCATGTAATAAACCTCTCACCCTACCTGTATAAAATGCCCCCCAGATTGCAGGACAGGGTTAGCAGATTACACAGTAATTTGAGGGGTGGGGTGGGCAGAGCAATCCTTCTCCCCAAAAACAGCAGGGCCTTTCTCACAGAAGGACTGCATCAGAAACCAACCCCATCCCTGGTTCTGGTGCATGTGC